TAGGGTCTACGGTTCAGGGTTTAGGGACCTGTTAACAAAAACAACCCTTACAACCCTTGATTAAGAAAGCAAAATGCACTTACCTATAGAAACCTTACAGAAACACCCGGAAGCGTGTCATAAATCTCCGTCACGTACTCATTGGGGCCAAGTCCTTAGTTGCTCAGTTGATAAGCCACGAAGAAGTTCAAACTGTCAGTTCTATTGGGGATAATACCCGCCCTAGAAAGTATAAAGTATACTCACGCGAAAAAAATAAACGGTCAGTACACGAACTCAGCCACTAAGAGTCTGTAGTGCGTCACAGGAGTCGTCGCACCGATCATCGTAGCTCCTGGTTTATAATTTTAGGGCTTAGGCTTAGGGTTCGGGGATTTGGGGTTTGCGGCTTCAATGGGATTCTGAAAGGGTGTAGGGCTTTCAGGTTTTTGGATGTGCGGCTTTGCTTCGCGATGTGGGGTAGGGTTTAGGGTTTAGGGTTCAGGGCTTAGGGAGAGGCTTTCGGTTTCAGTGTGTAGGCTACAGGGTTGTGATTCAGGAAGGCCTTATGATTTGCAAATTACAAAAACAAATCGCTCATGAGACTCAACCCCTGATCCACCCATACCCTAGACCCTAAACTCGGTTGGGCTTCAGTCAACCCTAAACCAAAAAACAACCAAAAAAATCGAGATCCCGTAAACTCTCAACCCTAAACCCTAAACCCGAAGATCCCTACACCCTAAAACCCTAAACCCGAAACCCGAAGATCCGTAAACCCTAAAACCCTAAACCCGAAACCCGAAGATCCCTACACCCTAAACCCCTAAACCCCAAAACCCGAAGATCCCTAAACCCTAAACCCTAAACCCGAAGATCCCTAAAACCCTAAACCCGAAGATCCCTACACCCTAAAACCCTAAACCCTCAACCCGAAGATCCGTAAACCCTAAAACCCTAAACCCGAAACCCGAAGATCCCTACACCCTAAACCCCAAAACCCGAAGATCCCTTCGTGCACATTGGCACACCTCCCCCCTTATTGTACGGGAGGTGCCGCGCACGCACTGCTGCGGTCACCCCCTCTCCGACTTCGTGGCCTGTCAGGAACAGTATGCTCTGGCAAGCGCTTCTCTCTCTCTCTCTCTCTCTCCCTTCTTGCCTAGAAGAAGTCCTCCTGCCAGAAGGCCAGGTCGTCGGTGTAGTGCCACCAACAGATGCAGGGGCCCCCCTCAACGTGCTGCCACACGTACCCTGCACCGGGACAGAAGTTATGCTCGTGCCGTCTCTCTCTGTCTCTCACACTTGCATTCTCTCTTGCCCCATCGGCCTGTCCAGCCTTTGCTCCTCAGAAGCTGCTGCTTGGCGTCTGTGCCTTCTACAGCCTGAGACAGGACAGTCTCAGCCCCAAGCGTTGTTTCTGGGGTTCCTCTGTAGCTGAGGTCGGGACGCTGAGCTCGAGGCGGATTTGCTCCAGTGGGTCCAGGCGCTTTGGCCTGCAGGCTACCAGGTTCTGAGCCTAATCCAAGACTCCTGCACCGGTGACTCACGTCTAAAGATGCTGCCGGAACCACTGGAGCTTCTTGGGACAGGGCCGACCTAGATTCGAGACCACTGCTCTTGACTCCGAGCTCTCCTCGAAAAGCTTTTGGCTTCGTGTCTGAGCTCCGGACAGGCGAGAGCGTTCTGCTCATTGTCGCCTTCGTACGACGGGTCCAGCGCCATCCATCTCTTTGGATGTTTGCAAGCCTGCATCCGAGCGTTTTCAGACAAGGCCTTCTTTCCACATCCTGAGGCTGCGACACAGCAGTTGAAGACACCCTCATAATCATGGAATTCCAGTTGGACCGACATGGCAGTGTGGATCCGGTTTCTGAAGGCAGGTAACGAACACGAGTCTTCGAGCCAAGCCGCTGAATGCGAGGAAGCTCCTTTGCAAGCACAATGCTGTGAGATCCTGCTGTTGCCTACTTGTCTCAGCCCTGGGTCCTGTCGCGATGTTTTACAAGACTGCTTTCACACGGAGCTTCTAAAGTACAGGGCGAAGGGCTCTTTGGCACCACGTATACGATACAACCTCAAACTCTACTCCTCCCCTTCAGTCTCTGACTCGAAGATCATGAGCTCGTCTCTCGCGTCTTCCAGCCTGGCATGCTAGTAGACTTTCACAGCCACGGCTGTGAAGTGACTCCTGCTGCTGAGTTCGGGACAGCTCCTCCAGGCTGCGATGTTTCCAGGTCCTGCCAGCAAGGCTTCACTTCTGCTTTTGGCTGCTCCGCAATTACTGGGGCCCCGCACTGCAGCAGGTGCTTCGCGTGCCCTAAACCCTAAACCCTAAACCTTAAACCCTAAATCCCTAAAACCCTAAACCCGAAGATCCCTAAACCCTAAACCCTAAACCCGAAGATCCCCAAACCCCCAAATCCTAAACCTGAAGATCCCTAAACCCCTAAACCCTAAAACCCCAAACCCGAAGATCCCTAAACTCCTAAAACCCTAAACCCTAAGATCCCTAAAACCCTAAACCCTAAACCCTAAAACCCTAAAACCCTAAAACCCTAAACCCTAAACCCCTAAAGCCCAGGATCCCTCGTGACGGAGAGGCTCCTTTCAGGCCCTGGAGGTCCTTCGGAAGACTGCTTTCCGGCTTTCTTCCTTCGAAGACATCCTTGGCTTCTTGGAGTCTTCGGACGGATTGGGTTTAGGGTTTAGGGTTTAGGGTTTAGGGTTTACTTGGAGGCCCAGGAGTCTTAGTAAGTAGGTTATTATAAGTAGAGTTATAAGTACCCTAAATGGAGCTACGGCTTTAGAGTTTAGGGTTCAGGGTTTAGGGTTTCCTTCGAAGACATCCTTGGCTTCCCATTCCACTGAGGGCTTTAGAGGGTTTAGGGTTTCCTTCGAAGACATCCTTGGCTTCCCATTCCACGGAGGGCTTTAGAGTTTAGGGTTCAGGGTTTAGGGTTTCCTTCGAAGACATCCTTGGCTTCTTAGTGAGTAGGTTATTATAAGTTTAGGGTTCAGGGTTTGGGGTTTCCTTCGAAGACATCCTTGGCTTCTTGGAGGCCCAGGGGACTTAGTAAGTAGGTTATTCTAAGGTTCAGGGTTTCGGGTTTCCTTCGAAGACATCCTTGGCTTCCCATTCCATTGAGGGCTGTAGAGTCTTTAGAGCTTAGGGTTCAGGGTTTAGGGTTCAGGTTTAGGTGCTGGAGACCCTGAGTGCACCCGAAACCCTCTAAAATCCCTGACGGAACCCTTGGATTCACCTTAAACCCTCTCAAACCCGCACAGAGCCCTTAAATTCGCCCTGAAGCATCTAAAACCCCTTACGATTCCTCTGAAGCTCTTACAGGAACCCCCAAGGGCCCATTGTAAGATCCTTGTTAAAGAAATAAACACCTTGCGGCTTCAGCGTTTGAGGCTCAAGGGGCATAGATCTTTCAACACCCCTGAAGTAAGGAATATACGTGAAATAAACTGAAAATATTACCATTAATGGTCGTAAAAATTTTGGTTCTCCTTTTGTTAAGCAAACCAACAATAAAGAGGATCCATTCGAACATTGTCGGTAGCCTTGGAAAAGTCAGGAAGTAAAATGGGGCCTAGCATCGGTGAAGGTGCTCAACATGCCTTCCAGCCCCGAGTAGTCCATGACCTGGCCAGCCAGACAAGCATTGCCTAGGGCTACGACTTAAAGGTCTAAGCTTGTTTGGTTTAAGGGCCTTTTCTGTTGCATGCGCTCCAAAGCCCATATTGGGCAGGCTACCGGAGGTGTAAGGTTCAGGGTTCAGGGTTTCGCTTTTTTCGGGTTTGGGGTTTAGGGTTTATAAACCCCAAACCCTAAACTTTAGGCTAAACCCCTAAACCCTAAACCCTAAACCGTTATAAACCCTAAACCCTAAACCGTTATAGACCCTCAACCGTTCTAAACCCTAAACCCTAAACCGTTATAAACCCTCAACCGTTATAAAACCTAAACCCTAAACCGTTATAACCCCTAGACCTTAAACCCGAGTTAAGGGCTGGATTTAGAAAACCGCAGAATGAGACCTGGAAAGGTAGGCTTTTTGGGGAACCGGGCCTTGGGTTTACTGTGGGGCCAGTTGAATGTAGGGGCCTTAATAATTGAATAGGGCTTTAGGGTTTTAGGGTTTAGGGTTTAATGTAGGGGCCTTAATAATTGAATAGGGTTTTGGGGCCATTATACTATAATTATAAGAAGGAACCCCCAAAATATGTTGTAGGTAGTTATTTAGGCCCCTCTGGTAGGGTGGGTTCAGGGTTCAGGGTTTAGGGTTTAGGGTGGGGGGTCTTCGGGCCATACTGGCATTTCACCGCAAGATTATGGGGAAAAACGAAGGTTCGTTTAAGGCTTCTTTGAGGGTCTGTTTCCCTGGAGCTGCTATAGGGCTTATTTTACAAAGGTTTACCTGAACTCTCCAATGTAGCTCCGGGTGTGGTTACCTGCCCAGTTCTTCCGATTCCCTCATTGTTGGAAGAAGACTCCTGAAATCACGTTAGTAATTTTATGATAATAAAAGGATAATTAAGGTGTGTTCCTCAGTTGAGGGATCGTTTAAAAATCTGGGCAATTTCTCCCCGATGTAGCTCCTTTGTTGCTACCTGGCTTCTTCAGTGCAGCGCTATAGACAACCCCCCCTAAACCCTAAACCTTAAATCCTAAAACCTAAAAACCTAAACCCTAAACCCTAAACCCCAAAACACGAAACCCTAAACCCTTAAACCCTAAAACCCTAAACCCTTAAACCCCACCCCCCCACCTGGAAGCTGCCCAAATCGTTCTCATTCGCCAAAGCAGACATAGACATCTGCTTGTGAAAGACCTTGACTCCCAAAGAGCCCAGTACTGCTTAGGGTTTAGGGTAAGCTATATACCATAAACTAAAGTATTAGGGCCCCTATACATTGCCTAAATCCCAAACCCTTCACCCTTAATTGAGGCACCAGAGCCCCCCAAAACCACCCGGAACTTAACCGGCCAAGCCGGGCAGCGAAGCCAGCGTTACGAGCGAAGTTGAAAACACAGGTGGGGCCGATGATTTCGAAGGTTGGGGCAACTTTGTTGAAGTTTGTGAGGCGGAAAATCTGGTGAAGAAATCCCCCTGCGCAGCAACCTTTTCCAGATCGCCGAGTCATCATCGTTGCTACTGGTATCATCATTGTAACCATCATCATCATCCTCATCATCATCATCATCATCATCATCATCATCATCCGCATCATCAATGTTATCACAACCAGAATCAACTTCAGCATCATCATTACCGTTTCCTTCATCATCGCTATCCTCCTGCTCATCAACATGTTGACCGGTGGGGTTCGCTTTTTTTGGGAGGGGGGGGCTGGGTACTGAATTAAGAAGTATTGGGCTTTCTGGGTTGACTCCCGAAGAGCCCAACGGGTCCCGTACTTACAAGGAATACGTACCTTAAACCACAAAGAGGGGGCTCACTATGATGATTCAAGGTATATATTCCTGAACCTCAATGTCTTCAGTAAAGGAATTTATACCTTAAGTTATTTCGAGTTAAGGAAAAGCCACACTCTTACTACAGGGTCATGTGACTTCAGAAACGAGGGTTATAGACAAGGTACCTCTACTTATAGTTACCTGTAACTTCAAAACCATACTTACTAAGTCCCAATGATCCTTGTCGTAGCCTGATAGAAAGTAACAGGGACACCCGAAACCGCTAAAGTCCTGACGTGAACCGCTAGAAAGCCAAGAGGCCTGTGGGAGCATTGAGACATCCATTTTACTGAAGAGGTGCGTATAGCCTTCCAAACCTTCCATGATTCCTGCGGGAAGTGGCTCCCGACCTGGATAATGGTTGAAGGTCGCTCCCCGCGGCTATCAAATAATATACCCCAGTAAATGAGATTAAAGATGCCTCCATGTTCAAGTTGAGACCAACATGGAAACCCGCAAATATCCCAAATTGCCACCTAGCGGCTGGTGAGAGCTATGGCAGCTGTCCCTCCAGCCCTCTCCATGGCAATCCCCATGACGACGCCACTTCCGACCAGGGCCACGGCAAATCCGGCGCGAAGTGCCAGGGAGCGCTGGGGGGATGCAGTCGTACCCAGCAGCGATGTGGCCATGTCTCCAGCCATCGCCGGGAACTATTTCGGCTCCTCTGGTAAGTCTTGTGCCTCGCAGAAAGCTTGATCCTTTCGTATGTCGGCGGGCTTCTGCCATGGAACCGACACCAGCAAAGAAAGCACTTCCAATCCAAAGCATAAACGCTGAATCCCCAAATCCTCACCTACAGCTCAATCATGAAACTCCCGAGGTAGGTAGGTAGGTAGGTAGGTAGGTATGGTATGGTATGGTATGGTA